TAGTATACTGAGGTCTTTCCAAGGGTCGGAACTCCCAAGCGTGGCTTACAGGTTCAGGAACTGGCATGGTCCTCTTTGAGTTGAACAGAGGCTTGGGGACTATGACGTAACTGATTGGGGGACTTGGGCTGATCACACTTTACGTACTTCACAAGCTTCAGGGAGCACGCTTGTGGAGTCAAAGACAACTGTTGGCAACGAACCTTTAGATCTTGTGGAGCCCCGCTGCTGATGGACACTCACTTTCCAGGCGCTGATCAAACTTGAAGTTACATGTCTCTGTGAAAGTATGCTTTGACTGTCTGTACCTTTTGCCTGCATGTAGAACCTGCATTGTTCCTTTTGCTCACTGGCGGTCGGTAGGGAATAAGGGAATAGAAGCCCTATGAATATAGTCCCTTATTCGCATGTCCCCTTGCATAATCCCTATACAGTATATTTCTTTCATTGCCTAGTCACCCCTAGCAAGTTCCCAAAACATCGCACACGGACTCAGGACCGACCTGCGGTAGTGGAGGCTTATAACTACTACTATTACTGCTGCTGACTACTACTATTTGTATTCGTATTGTTACCAGTCTTTTTCTTAGTAATTAGTATTTCCATTGCTATTACTTCTGTTCTTCTTACAAGTTAAGTAGGCGTGTAGAGAAGTATATATGGGAATGGAGAAGGAGATGGCAAGTGGGAGTGTAGTAATTTGTGGGAGGGGGTTTCCATGAATTAGGGGTTGGGTTCTGCAGAAATGGCCAATACCTGATGAAAAAGTGCTCATCTGGTCTGGAGAGTTTGATGTCTGCGCTGGCAGGCGTCCTAGCTCACCCTCCTCACCATGAAGGAAACAGCTAGTCAAATTCTGTGGCATGTTGTCCCAATCCGAGGCTCAATCTCATCAGGCTGCTAGGAGCGCCTCTTGCTGAGTGGCTGTCCTAGCTCAAAGCTCAAAGCTCAAAGCTAACTTAGCTTTAAAGCTTTCTTTCGGTGGTCAAGACGCTTCACAAGATCCGAAGCTTGCAGCAACCCGTTGCTGCTCGCAAGGTTACCTCAGCGGCAAGACATGCAAGTGTTGCAACGTTTAGCCTCCTTCGGGTACAACGAAGAATGGTTCCACATACTGACATGCTCGCATGCTCGAAGAGTACGCTCAGCAAGTATTACATGTTCTTGTGTCCAGATGTTCGGCCCCATCCCACTAGATGAGCTGTCAGACTCCTTGCAGAACCGGACAAGCCTTGAACTAGAATTTCTACAAAGTCTATTGCTTAAGGCATGAGGTGCCTGTGTATTCATGACATTCGGTGACAACAACAGCAAAAGGTAGGCAAGCTTTCCCATGCTGCAGGCTCTTCCATCCCAGATGGGCAAGCCGAAGCCTTGAAAGCTAAATGTTCCACCTAGACCCGGAGCCCTGAAGAGTGCTGGTCGCCACAGCCTTCCTCTGCCTGGCCAATTTGCAAGTCCTCTTCTTAACTGTCTCGGGGGCAGGCCTTGAGAGAGAAGTAGTTGCCAGTACTGCCGGGGACTTTAAACGTAAGCGGTGTACAGCCCCAAAGCCGATCCTGTGCACATGCCTAGGGTGCTGGACCCAAACCGTTTCGTCTGCCACAAAAGCCATCAGGTTGAAAAATGCATTCCAGACACACTAACTCCAATCACAGTGAGAGGACCTTTTCGCCTCATCAGCTCTTACGGCGTCTTTCCCCCTGAGGCCTTGCCACAGGCAGGGCAGAATGCAACTGGATGTCAGGATTTTCAAGTTTTTAGGGTTTCGAAACGTTTGAAGTTGTGTGTTTCAGTTTCTACGTCATCGACCCCATCCCTTCCCGCCTGACTTTTTAAACACATGATTTCCTCTTTAATGGCATGCCCAAAAAATGTAATCGACTGACACCTGGCTTCGGAAGTACCAGTGGCATCGCTAAATTCCCAATGTTGTGGCTGGATCCATCCGTGTGCTGAGCTATGTTTGATAGCCCTTCCAGTCATCTTCCGCAGTCACAAGAGACTCTCCTCGTGTAGTCGCCAACAAAAGATAGTGCCTCCTAGGCCATGATGGCATCAGGCTGAGCACTGCCCAAGGGTTGCGGCAGATACCTGGCTTGCGGCGGTTATTAGGGTTTAGGGTTTAAGGTTTAGGGGTTAGGGATTAGGAGTTAGAACACCAGACAAGTTGGTTGGGAACCCGGACAGGGTATTTTTGCAACGACACGGTGGTGAGTGTAGTGCTCCTTGCTGTTTGTGTCGAGATCTTTTCCGAGAGGTGCGCACCACGCTGGTATACGAGGGCAGCCATGATGGTATCTCTGATGCAAGCCACAGAATGCATGCGCATTTGGACAGGTGGTTGGTTCAACATTCTTTGATTGAGAGAGAGGGCCTGGTGTGGCTTGCGGTGCCTGAGCAACTCTTGCAGTTAAGCCCGCGCCCCGCAGCTGTTTTCCATTTTGCGCTCTGTCCTCCCTGGCCTCGTGCCATTGGTGGCCGCTGAGCACAATTACGACTAAATCACCTGCTTTCTTCGTTTATGGTCCTGCAGCGCGAGGGCCAGCCTTTCCTTGAGCATTTTGCTTGTTGGGTAAGAGCAGGCTCCGTCGAGATGAGGCTGCACTCTGTGTATCACTTTAGCACGTTCATCTAACACAACATCCCCGTCTGAGGTGATTCTCATGTAGCCTTGCACCAATGAACCGCGTAATGGCTTTCCGGTAGCTTCTCACATAGCTTGGAGCGTGTCGGGCTGGTTGCGGGATGCCTCTCGTGTAGCTTTCAGCGTGTCATGCCTGGAGCAGAAGGGATCTATGTGGCCCGTCATGTATGGTGGGCCCGAGAGCGGCAAGCGTACTGAGCGGTCCTAGCATGCAGCTCAGCCATGCCGGCCGCCGAAACGTCTGTGCTTCCATCTAAAAGTTGTGTATCTCTCTCTCTCTGGCCTGAGGGGCTGGCGAAGATGGCGGCTTCGGAGAAGCTGCCGCCCTTGGAGGAAGAGGGGGACTCTCGGATGCGCAAATTTCGTGAAAGTAGTAATTGGAATGTAGTTTCGGCCCACATGCATATACCAGTCCCTGAAAGAGGCAGTGCTGGGACATCAGGTAAGAAGATGGCTTACCAGGGACTGAGTGTTTCCCGCATGTTGGGTATGCTTTGCGCCCTTTTTTTTTACAGCTCGGTTCAGTTTGGGTAGCAGGGCCCTTTATGGTGGGAGCATGTGGGAGCAGTAGCAGTACTCGTTACAACCTATGGAATCGGCCGGCAGAGTACTGGTCAACAGTCAGCGGAGCAGGTAGCAACAAGAGTGTTACGAGGAGCTGTGGCCCGAACTGCGCCGAACGGCTGTACGGCCTCGGTACGTGGGGAAAAAATAAAATTAAGAGCTGTAGCGCTTTTGTGTGCTAGCTTGGATTGCTAGTGTCCTAGGCTGTGGGCGGCATCGACTTTCCGGAAGCTCCCAAGGCCCAGCTTACGCTTTGAAGTTGAGTTGGATTCGATTGCGCAAGTAGGTAGTGCTAACTTGATGATATCAGGGTACTTTCGTGCCTGTGGTAGATTCCATAAACGGGGGATCCCGATACTAATTATAGTCCTTGTTATTGCGACCCCAACAAAGGTACCCTCAATTTGTGGAAACCCCTCACCCGCTTCTTCAGTCATTGATTTTCATTTATTTTTCCACTTGATTCTCCATTACTGGTGTCATATATCTATAGAACCTAACTTTTGGATGCCTCCGTGCGTATTCTTGAGAGAAATATGGCTTGCGCCAGGTCACGGCGTCAATGTCGCCAGGGCGCATCTGGCGAGATGGCATGGAGCATGCCGCTGGTCAGGAGACCAGTGACCCCACCTTGATAGGACTAGTGACTAGAACTACCCACCCCTTTTTTGGGGGGAGTCCTGAAAGGTCGTGGCAGAGGAGGGGTTATGGCTTAATTGCAGATCCGTGACTCAAAAAAAAGGCAGCTTTTGCTGAGCTTTCTGTAAGTGAGGGAATATGATGGAGAGGTTTCTCTAGGTGTATTGGCGCTCGATGCGCGACAAGGGCATGCAACGGAACTTGCATGAAGAGTAGACGGCTGCGAGAGTCAAGGATCTTGGCTATCGTGTTTGTAAAGTTGGGATTGAGCATTGTGTCGGCGTCTAGCAGTATATCTGTGCAGTTCAGTTGACAACCTGACGCCTGCAGGTGGTCGAGCATTTTCTGCGGTGAGTTAGCAATGGCGGGTCCGGTCTGGTGGTGATAGTTGCGCAGGTTCTAGGTTCTTTCATGTGCCAATGTGACTTGCTGTTTCATGCGCAACTTGGTTCTGCTGGCGTTGTGCGCGAGGAATGCGAGGAGTAGGCTTCAGGAGCCGAAATGAGCGCTTTGATCATGCCGGGCAACCGGCCTGAGGTAGATCTCAAAGCCGAACATGCCGACTCCGTGCAGAACATGCTGCAGAAGCAGGTGGCTGGGCAGAGCAATGGAAGCTTTATATAACCTCTACATACTATGGTAGTTTCCATTTTCTTTTCCATTATCCCAATATAAACCCAATATTACACCAATATTACCCCAGTATACTATAGACCCTAAACCCTAAACCCGAAATAACCCAATATAGACCCCTCGTTCGCGTGGCACTGGCCTTGGGAGATGGCAGGCGGAAATCCTGAGACGGCTGGACCAGCAGACGGAGCTCCTGAGCTCGCTGGTGTCGACTCTTCGGCTGCAGATTTTGGGGGTACCCCAAAATTAGGGGTACTTTTAAAGGGGGTATAGGGGTTACTTGGGGGTATACTGGGGTTATATAGGCATAATGGAAAAGAAAATGGAAACTACAGGAATCATAGGGATTATATACGGGTTATATAGGGTTTATATTGGGGTTATATATAATATTTATGAGACCTCGGCTTGCACCTGTCCTGGCGCGGTTTTTGACCATTGGAGCGAGTCTTCAACTGCAGCCTGGCCCAAGCCCACCAATAGCTGTGTAAAATAGTGTGAAACCTAGATCCGCAACATGGCATTCCGCCTGGGATCCGTGCTGCTGGCCTTCCTCTTTGTGGGGATTGCAAGCTCTGTGAGGGACGACGCCCAAGTGAAGTGCAAGGAGTCCTTGGTCGCAGCCGCAATGGAGACCTACCTGAACGAGAAGCAGAAAACGGACCCGCTGGCTACCAAGAAGGCGCAGTGCAACTGGGCGACCAACGGGCAGAATCCTGATGCCAGGGAGGAGGCCGTGACCGGCATGGATGAGAAGCTGAAGAAGCTCAAGGTGACGGGCTGCACTACGAAGATGCTCGAAGATGGCCTGGACTCCTACTGCGCCAAGCTGAAGTAAGCATCCGCCCGCCGTGGCAAATCTCAGAGTGGAAAAGAAGATGGAAACTACTATTTAGGGTTTAGGGTTTCCCAAAATTAGGGGTACCCTTTTTGGGGGTCCTATAGTAAGGACTATAGTATTTTAGGGTTACATTGGGGTCCCCCTATTTTGGGAAACTGCCAGATCATCTCCAGTGGGGAAGCGGGCCGTCTGCAAACTAGCTACTGAGGAAGCCTCCATTTGGACTGCTCAGGAGGCCGGCTGGGGGTGCCAGAATACATTTTGGGATGGAATCGTGCGGAAAATTGGCCCAACAAAAAAAAAGAAGGACCCAATCTATCTCATCTCCCACAGGCTGCCACCCCAAACCTGAAAACCCTGAACCGTTGAAGAGAATTTGTCTTTGTGCTTGGTCCAGGCCACGTGGTGAGGTCAATGCACATATCACGCACTCTGTTGAGCACATCTAGAGATGCTGAAGTCAAACGAAGGGTTACGCTGGTCCCTGCTATACGGGCCATGAAGCCACGTGCACCTAGGCCATGCGAGACTTGAAGCCCTACAGAGCCTGAACCCTCCCTGGTGCAGGGTCAGCCCCGACGCAAGCCTCAACCCTGGGCAGGTTCGGGCCAAGGCTGGCTGTTTAGGGGGATAAGCTCACGAAAACTTAGATCCGCATAAAGTACAAATACATACATGTATCTATTATATGTGTATACACCTTCTTATATGCATGTAGGTAGGTAGGTAGGTAGGTAGGTAGGTAGGTAGGTAGGTATGTAGGTATGTAGGATTACGTAGGCATGTAGGAAAGCATTGTGTATGTAGGTGCGCACATCTGTTCGTAAGCATGTACGTCTGCAAAAACATGTGCATGATTGTGCATGTGCGCTACGGCGGCATCGCTTTCGGGCTTTCGGTCAAGCCGACAGGTCCAGCCAGAGGAGCCTGCTAATCCAAGTCCAACATCATGTAATAAGTGGCTTGGCTGAGCTCGAGCTAGCATGGTAAAGGATCTTAGAGGGATATAATTGTAATAATAGAAATAGTAATAATAGTACTAACAGTAATAGTAATAACAGTAATAACAAAGATCATAGTAGTAATAATGAATAATAGTGTTCTCATAATAATGGAGGCGGCTGTGTGAGCTTTGACATGACCTAGTGGTTGTTGCAAAGCGGCAGTGGCTGTGCCCGTGGACTTGAAAGTTCTGCTAGAATTTGTGCTGCCACGCCTGGACAAGCTACGCTTTGCATCACCTCTGGCCTCAGAAAATGAGACCTGAAAGAGCTTTGTGTGGAGGCTAAGGTACTTGAGTTCCTATTCAGGATCTATTTCTTGAGCCCTGCTCAGGCCAACTCTCTTCAAGACTTTCTCTCAAAGCGAGATCAATCGGCGGCGGGAGGTGGCGAGGGTGTTGTAGAGGCTTGAGCTTTTGCTATACTGCCAGACCATTCTGAATGTCGGTTTTCCATCGCTTTGTCAAACAGAGAGTCAACCTAAGCCATATTGAACCCTGAATGTACACTTGGTTTTCCACAGTCGAGAGATAGCTCATTGTCATCTTTGGGCAGCATGTCTACACGTGCAATGCCTCTTCCGCCAGAATTGGTATCAACTATGGCCGACTGTGCCCACATGTACCAATCCCATCCAATCCCCACGGGACCCCATGTAAAATGCCGACGCAATGCCTTCAGACTTAAGCAGCACATAAATCTGAAAGCCGTTAAACCTGAACTCCAAGCCCCTAACCTTAGAAAGTTCTTCTTATGCAGTTCTTGTCGGGAGAATTCCTAATTCACCATGTCGCTACTCGTTGTAGCCTGAGCTGTCTAATTCTGTCTAATTGAGCTGTCGTACCCATGATGGAAGGCCTAGATCCCGACCCAAAACCGTGAAACCTAAGCTCTCAGCATAACCCCTCTCTAGGAGGACCCTTGTAGTGCTCTTCTCATGCAACGAAGTTCCTTGTCCCTGGCTGATTTCCTGATAAAAAGCTCGTGCTCCTTCCAGGCCACGCGCATATTTAGCGGGACTTTTTTTTGTAGAACCTCAAAGGAGCGCGTGCTGGATGGACACTATTATACAAAGGGTTTCTTTGGGGTTCCATGTTAGTTCGGGGGCGCGCGCCCAAACCCATTCATTCACGCAATTGAATTCATAGTTCAAGTTGGATGAGTTGATTACCTTGTGGTGAAGCCCTACATGCAGAAACCCCCAAACCACTAAACTCAAGACTCTGACCCGTCAAGTCCACCCCCCGAATATCACATATTTCCATTGGGCATATTAGATTGTCTAGGGAACTTCCATATGATGGTTTTCCTAAATAGGGGGACCCCAATGCAGACCCCAAAATACTGTAGTCATACACTGTAGTCCTTGTTATGGGGACCCCTAAAAAGGGTACCCCTAATTTTGGGAAACCTCCATATTAGGGGGTTTTGACTATTAAGGGGAGAGGATCACGACTGCCAAGATTGCCAGGCCAAGGCTGTTTCGGTGGGCAAAATCATATCGCAGCACCCCACCGCTTCAGAGGCGGCAAGCCCAACCAATCACGGGGTTTAGGGTTTAGGGGCTTTCCAAAAATTAGGGTTTGTAAGGGCTATACTGCTCTGGGATCCATGTTGGGGTTCCTTGAGTTATGGAGACTACTACGCAGCTCCAGATCGATCCTCAAAGCCTGAGAAACCTCGAAATATCCACGAGATCCCATAACCTCTATACCATCAGCAACTCCAGGAAACTCTGTTTTGATGATTCCTACAGGATGCAACTTGTTGCTGAGCAACCCCAAGTAACATCGGTCTGTAGTTCAAATGGGGATCTGGTTATGGTAAGCAACATGGGTCTCTAGTTACCAGTTCAGATGGGGATCTGGTTATGGTAAGCAGGGATGAGCAGGGATGAGCTCCTATCATCCGAGGAAAGTGTGTCAGGCTTTACGGTGGGAAGGTGTATACGAGATGGAAGGGAGTTGTGAATAGCGTCTCAAATGCAACTTAGACGAGGCTTGAGGCAAAGATGCAGTTTCGCATCGTGAGGACAAAACCCAACTTTGTCTAAAGGGAATGCTAGTTTCCCAATATAGACCCCAATATACTATGATCCTTATTCTGGGGACCCCCAATAGGGTACCCCAAATTTTGGGAAACCCCCAATTGTGGGTGGGAAGCTTGGCTTTGGGCGGAGACTTGTGGAAGTGTTTCTCAAAGTTCCCGATGCTTGGAGGGTCAGGGGGACATAGTAAGTCGCTTAATCACCCCTACAACTCATAGTAACCCCAGGAATCCCTTATTGACCTACTTACTAAGTCCCCCTGATGCTCCAACCCCTAAACCCTAAACCCTAAACACTAATTAGTAGTTTCCATTTTGTTTTCCATTATCCCTATATAACCCCAATAAAATCCTATAATCCCTATATAACCATATGTCAATTTCACAGCAGGCCGAAACATCTTCTTGCTCAGAGCGGATGGTGAAGCACGCTGGCTTTGACCTCTTTTTCACCGTGGTGGTCGTCACAAACTCGATGCTTCGCCAGATGTTCGGTGCAGATGGTGGTCTCCATCAAATGCGCATTCCACCCGTAGAACTTATTTACTGCTGAAGCAGTTGGGGAACTAGGTGCAACTGGGGGTAGCCTCCAAGGGCAGTTGGACATGGCAAGGTTAACTCTGGACCGAAGTAAGGATTTCTAACAGCTAGGGATGTCGGAGGTCCTGACCCTGAGTAAAACCGTTTGGGTTTCAAGTGAAGATGTGGTTGCACATCATGTTTGCGGAGAGTGTGTTTGCGGCTGTTTATATGGCCAAATGGCTGGAGACGAAACAGCTCCACGTCATCACTCAGCCAATCTCAAGCGCCAATCTCAAGCCTGACTTCATCAGTCCCCTGCAGCCTGCGATGTATGCGATTGTTCAGCTCATTTGCCAGAGATCATTCAAAGGATCTGTAAGTTCGAGAGCGAGAGCATCCGAAGCCACAAAGGATCTTCATTGGCCTGGAGCTGCAGTTGACAATGTCTACAGGCGGTAGGTCCATCCCGATGCAGGCCCATCATTTGCGGCCAGCTGTGCAGTGGTCCATTAGGGTTTGCATGAGAATTTGAGAGCTATCTAGGAGTCCTTGGGCAGTGTTTGGATGTGCTAAGTTGCTTTTGGAGGCGGGTAGTAATGATTTCCATTTTATTTTCCATTATTCCCATGATTCCCTATATAACCCCAATCTATTATGGTAGTTTCCATTTTATTTTCCATTATTCCCATTGTAACCCCTATAATCCCTGTAGTACTTTCCATTCAATTTCTATTATCCACTGAGTAAGTTGAGGTTTAGTCAAGGCTCTCTGGCTTTGGCATCTTCTGAGATCTGCAGTCCCATTGTAATAATATTGGGGTTATATTGGGGGTATATTGGGATAATGGAAATGAAATGGAAACTACTATTTAGGGTCTAGGGTTAGGGGTGTTCCAGATGCAAAAAGGGTTGCGAGGGGAAGCAGGCCTATGCATGAGCCATTTTCATACAAGCGCAGGTCCTTCAGTACTGCTACACTCTCCTCTTCACATTTGAGCTGGTGCCAGGGGCTCAGTGGAAGCTCGCCATCCTAGCCGCTAGAAGTATGGGATCTTCCCCCCTTCAGGCCTTGATAGGCCTTACCTGGAGTCTGGGTATGATCCTCTGTGTGACCTGGTGGACTTAGGGTGAGGTTCCTGGCTCAGGGCCCAAGCCTTCTCTGTCGCGAAGAGTGGATGTGGGCTTGTGGCTTGGCAACTTGAGCAGAAGCCTTTGATACCTCCACATGGCAAGTAGGATCTTGAGTCTCGGGATGCCCAAAGTAGGTGGTAGCCAAAGCTACAAGGCAAGTCTAAGCACTGAGGCAGCCCAAAAGTACCAAGTGCCAAAGTTGTGACTGCAGCTGAAACATCTAAGGGCTCGATCTCTTTATCGTCTTGACCTCGCTCTGGGAGTTGTTCGTGGACGTCTACTACTACGTGCAGGGCA